CGGCACCCCAGTGGTCGCGCAGCCCCGCGGCGTCGTCAGCAGCAGGTTCTCAGGCCGCAGCTCCGCCGAGGCCGCGCCCCTCTCCTCCAGGCGCTCCAGGGCCGCGCTCAGCTGCAGCAGAAGCAAGGCCGCGGCCCGGGCAAACTCCGGGGGCCGCCGCACACCGACCTCCGTCAGCCACTGGGCCACCGTGCGCTCGGGCACCTCAGCCACCAACGTAGCTGGGCCCTGCCAGGGCGCCGCGGGCAGGACGCGCTCGGGTACCAGGCCGCACAAGCTCTGGATGTTGAAGTGGGGGCGCAGCGAGGCCTGCAGCTGCAGGCCCCACGGGTCAGGGGCCTCGGCTCCCGGCTTGGGCACCTGCGGGGCAGAGAGGGCCGTCAGGGCTTCACCCACCGAGCCCCCCCACCCTGTACAGCCTGCCCCTCCCCTGAAACCTTCCCCTGAGTCCCAGGGCCTGCAGCAGGGTTAATTTATTCTGATGTTTGTTGTCGTGAGTTCCCTTTGAGTCAATCTGGCCTCATGGCGACCCCATGTGTTGCAGAGTAGAACTGTGCTCCAGAGAGTTTTCTTGGCTGTAATCTTAACAGAGGAGCCCTAGTGGCCCAGTGGTTGAGCGCTTGGCCGCTAACCAAAAAAGGTCAGCAGTTCAAATCCACCAGCCTCTCCTTGGGAGAAAGATGTGGCAGTCTGCTTCCATAAAGATTACAGCCTTGGGAACCTATGGGGTAGTTCTACTCTGTTCTATAGGGTCGCTCTGAGTGGGAATCAACTGGATGGCAATGAGTTTGGTTTTGGGTTTGGAATCTTAACAGAAGCAGATCGCCAGGTCTTTCTTCGGCAGTACTGCTCAATGGGTAACCCCCCCAAAAAAACCAAACCCACTGCCATCGAGTCCATTCCAACTCATAGCAACCCCATAGTGTTTCCAAGACTGTAAATCTAGTTTCTCATTAAACCATTAGTACACATATTGTGTGACATTGGTTAACAACCCCACTACATGTCAACACTTTCCCTTCTCGACCTTGGGTTCCCTATTACCAGCTTTCCTGTCCCCTCCTGCCTTCTCATCCTTGCCCCTGGGCTGGTGGGCCCCTTTAGGCTCGTTTTGTTTTATGGGCCTGTCTAATCTTTGGCTGAAGGGTGAACCTCAGGAGTGACTTCATTACGGAGCTAAAAGAGTGTCCGGGGGCCATACTCTCGGGGTTTCTCCAGTATCTGTCAGACCAGTAAGTCTGGTCTTTTTTTGTGAGTTAGAATTTTGTTCTACATTTTTCTCAGCTCTGTCTGGGACCCTCTATTGTGATCCCTGTCAGCGCAGTCACTAGGCACCATCTAGCTGTACTGGACTCAGTCTGGTGGAGGCCGTGGTAGTTGTGGTCCATGAGTCCTTTGGACTAATCTTTCCGCTGTGTCTGGTTCTCTTCATCCTCCCTTGCTCCCAACGGGGCGAGACCAGTGGAGTATCTTAGATGGCTGCTCACAGGCTTTTAAGACCCCAGACATTACTCACCAAGGTAGAATGTAGAACATTTTCTTTATAAACTGTGTTATGTCGAAGCTGTAAGTCTTTACGGAAGCAGACTGCCACATCTTTCTCCCGCGGAGCCTATGGTGGTTTCGAACTGCCCACCTTTCTGTTAGTAGTGGTTCGATTTAACCACTGCACCACCAGGGCGCAATGGGTGATGTTAATTAATTTGGATGTTGGTCACCAACAAATGAAGACTTTAAGGAAGACTAAACTAGGGAGAAGGAGCCCTGGTGGCGCAGTAGTTAAGTGCTCAGCTGCTAACCTAACCAAATGGTCAGCAGTCTGAACCCACCAGCCCATCCGTGGGCAGAAAGATGTGGCAGTCTGCTTCCATAAAAATTGTCGTTGTTAGGTGCCATCCAGTGGGTTCCAACTCGTAGTGATCCTGTGTACAGCAGAACAAAACACTGCCTGGTCCTGCTCCATCCTCATAATCGTTGTTATGCTTGAGCC